AAAAATCATAGAGACACTTATTCAGAAGTGCGTACGAAAGTTCCGTTGAAGCAGACTCTGAAATTAGACTCCACCCCTGTCAGATTCACCTTCAATCTTGACAATCTTCAGAAGAATACTCATGTCACCGAGAAAACTACCACTATGAGGTATCCGGTCTACAGAAATAACGTTAACAAGGGTTCAGAGTTAGATATTGTCTACAGTACCAGTGTCACCGATGCACCAACTACGATAGCAGCTTCCAAAGAGATCACTATAGACTTAGAAAGGCATAAAGCTAGTCAGAACGTTCTGACGTCCAGCCAGTGGCGTTACAATGCTCCACCAAGTACCACCGTGAAACCTACTCTGCCTTCTAAGACAAACAAAGTACCGTTTCTTCCAACTATTATCGCGGAACCTGAAGAGCAGCCTACCGTTTCTTCAACGAAGCGAACAGAGGTCTTGATGGAAGACACGAAGCCCGAAGCTTTCGCGATGAACACCGAGAAACCAACAGCTCTCTACGTGACTCCGATGTCCACGGAAACTTCGTCGAAGACGAAGTACAGTTCGACTTACTCGTTGAATTCTGCAGGATTTAGAGTGGCCACAACCACTACCGCAATGCCTATGAGGCCAGAAGTGATGGATCTGTTAGCTTCGATCGGACTCAGACCAGACAACAAGAGCAACGTCGAAGACGTGTACAAGAAGAACAAGGATCTCTTGGACAAAAGTCAAATCGCAGATCTGAACAGTATTCACAGTACGATATCAGGCCTGACTTCGTTCACAGGTAACCAAGTGCCGATCTTGAACCAGAATGCCTTCGGAGGTTCAGCATCGGAGATCAAAAAGGGCGTGCAGAACCTAACGCCCGACGTCCAATTGCTCTTCCAGAGATTCGGTCTGCAAACGTCGAACCTGGATCAGCCTACAACCACCACTACCCAAAGGACGACTAGCAATTTCAACTCCTACACAAATTTCAAACCTCTGCCTACTTCCAGCGTGAAGGATCAAGAGATGAAGGAGTTTCTAGCTCAGTTTGGACTGGGTGTGAGTAACAACAGGAGGCAGAAATCGATGAAAGCAACTCAAGAGACTCCCTCTGTGATAGAAGTTGTACCGAGCAACATGAGAAACATTCTGGAGAACATCGGTCTCATCTCTGTGTCCGAGAAAGGGTCTAAACCTTCCTCGAAGCCTGAAGAAGACATGATATCCACGGAAACGTCGGAGACTCCCTCTGTGATAGAAGTTGTACCGAGCAACATGAGAAACATTCTGGAGAACATCGGTCTCATCTCTATGTCCGAGAAAGGGTCTAAACCTTCCTCGAAGCCTGAAGAAGACATGATATCCACGGAAACGTCCAAGTACCACGTGTTCAAGCCTCACGAGGCGATAGTGAAGGACGAAGAGCAGAGGAACAAGATCAACGAGCTGTTGGACACCGTGAAGCTGGTTCAAGAGGGCAAGGCTGACGTTCAGAACGTCAGAAAAGTGGCCAACGACTTGTTACAGTCCACGAAGATCCTGAAAGACGGACCGGATCCTCTGAAGCTCGAAGAGATCATCAAGACGTACAACGAGGACGTGAGGAACGAGGTGAAGAGGCAAGAGGAGAAGGAAGAGACGACGACGACGACGACGACAGCTAGCCCGAAGGAACAAACGACAATTTCTTCTACTGTCACCACTGGTATTAAGAAATTTATGATATACGTATTAAGCAGTTCAGACTATTGGGTTCAGAGAATTATGCAGGGATTAAGGAGACTTCGAAGCGTACTAACCAACGTGTATGATAGATTTAGACGCGGATCTGGCTGATTCTGACGGTGTCTACTAATTCTCGAACTCTAGCATTTCCTCTCTTTGTTGTGCGTCCTTCGTTCACTTGGAAGAGATACGCTAGGACGTATCTCCATTATGTATCCTCTAATTACTTTCTCTTTCCGTGCTAACGACGTTCAACAGCAGCGATTTCTACGTTAAATCTCACTCTCCTGTTTGAAGAAAGAGTGATCTTTCCCTGGAGAAAAAATGGACAAACTTGTGGGAAAAGATCGATGAAAACTTTCGATTTCTATTCACTTGTTACTCTCTTACCGTGCTAATCGTGAGAAATACTCTTCGCGACGAGTACTAATGTCTCTATTTGTAACTAATGCCCACCCCCCAGTGAAATCTCGTAATTGGCACGATTTACGTGCTTTAGATAAACATTTAATCCTAACTGTACGTATCACACCCCATCTCTCACTGTATAATATCCATTTCTACATGTAAAATTGTACGTGAATTGATTGCATGTCGATCCTTCTTTTCTACCAACTCTAAGTGTTCATTCCGAAACCACTCTCTGCCTATATCACTCAAAACTATCGAATGGAACCGCCACGAAAGACACTCAAACACGAATTCATGATGGAACTTGTCAACAGAACCGGCTGAAACCACCTTAACCACTTCCACGACGACAGATTCGACAAAATCAGCATCCACGACGACGACCTCTTCGACTTCTACAGCAGCAGCCTCGACCACAGCCAGTCCTAACTTGGTGGCTCTGGAGGAATCTTTCGGCGGGACCACCAAGGAACCGGACACAG